ATGGTTGTTTCGCCGTTCAGTACGCGCAGTATTACGACGGTATTTCACTGTATTGTAAACGATCACATATTCAATTTTTAGACTGTGTAACGACTATTATCAAGTGTATATGATAAGATAAAATACGGTCTTAACACTGAGCCTATTAAACATTAATTTGCAGTTATTAATAACTGAAAATTATATGAAACGAGAGTATACCATATTCTATTTGTCCTCCTCGATGATTAGAATTCTTATCTGGGCTTATACCATAAAAAAAAATATTCAAAATATTGAGTGTCTCAAAAAGTATTGCGCTGTTAGTATTTTTGAAATTTTTCTTCGATGATAACACTTTTGCTTATCAAAAGATAATGCTTAAAATTCTGCACAAAAAGATATATTGTATTGAACGAGTGTAGTCTCTTTCATTTTTCTTTTGGATTGAACGTTTTATTTCGTCTGTTAATGTTACCTTGGTTATGACGTGGTCCAAATTCATATCCTCAGCGAATTTATTTCATGTAACTGTAATCTAATGGACATAAGTCAAATGAACCTTGTGACAGACGAAATAAAATGTTCAATCCAAAAAAAAACACAAAAGGAGACTATATTCGTTAAACGAAGTATTTCCATTCGTGTAGAGTTTCAAACATTGTCTTTTGATAAGAAAAAGTTTTTTCATCGAATTGAAATTTCGAAAATACTAACAATGCAATTCTTTATGAGACATCCGATAGGTATATCATATAAAACTATTTAAATTATTAATAAATAGATAATGCTTACAGGATATACGAGAAACGCCTAAATATATAGTCGTTTTTCTGCTTGTGACCTACCTTTGGAGAATGTTAGTCTAAGTACGAAAGATATTGAATTATTTTGTTATTAATGTCATATAAAAAGTACGATTTGGAGAAAGATTAAAAATTCGAATTACATAAAAGACAGATAATAATAATCTACTTGTTGAAGCTTTAGTTTAATCGATCCTTTACTAAAATGAATCAAAGTTTTTCTTTGTTTTTTTTTTATCTTATAACATATTTAACATACTATAATTATCGATAATTTAATCTAATTAAGAATATTTAAAAACTCTCAATGAATCAATTTCATTTTGTTAAAAGAAAATAAATGAATTCAGGTACTAAGAGAGTCATTTTGCTTTTCATTATAACATTTTTTTGTTGCATCCACATTTTCCTATTATCACTAGACAAAAATAGATTGAAAAAAAAACATTTTTTTTTTTCTATTGATAACAGACACGCATGAGTAATATGTAGAAAAGTTATTCTTAATGAATGATTAAGATTAAAAATGAATTAAAATGATTCATAAAATCTCCATTCTTAATTGATGAACAATAAGATACAATATGCAATCGACAGATATTTTATCATTAGTACAATCTATTAAAAGATATTATCTAAGTTGAAAATTTGTACATAGTTGAGATATTAAAGATTGTTATCGACAAAATAAAAATTTAAACATATACTCAAACTTAATTTGTATTGTATATATACAAGTACTCGACTTAATATCTATTAAAACGAACTTAATAAGATAAAAATTGATTATCATCATTTAATTTATTAATTAAAATTTTATTCCATGAATTTCTATTCAAAATAAAATCGATTATTATGACATTCTTTCGCAATATATATGTTGTAGGCAAAATTGGAATTCTAATTCTGCCCGGGCAAAATTAAAATCTGACTAGAGATAAATTCTTAAAAAGAAAATAATCAAAATCTTAGTGTTATAACTGTATTTTATTCAACAAAATCTTTTTTTTTCTGAACATTTTACAATTACAAGTCCAAATACTTTACTCTATTCACCCATATTTTTATAACAACCTCGTTTTGAATGACATTTTGTTGAACAATTTTGACTATTTTCTTTTTAAGAATTTATCTCTAGTCAGATTCTAATTTTGCCTAGGCAAATTCCAAATTTGCCCGAATTCCAATTTTGCCTACAACATATATATATATCCAATGTTTTGATTTCATGTCCAATAAATATACAGTAACAACATTCCATTGTATTGAATAATATGAATTTTTTGTATTTATTAAATAAATCTTATTTTATCAAATTTCAATAGAAACTATATTGCTAGTTACAAATATTCTGTGTTGATGATTCTTCAAGATTTTCAATCGAATATACGACTATTTATGCAAATAAATCATATATTCTTACTCTATAATTTAAGTTGAATAGACATGATCTCCGTTAGAGACATGCATCTAACTCCGAAATCCAATTGCATTCTTTTCTTGTACAACATTTATTTTTCACAATTGATACTTCCGATTAACAAGAACTTTTAATCCAATAACTAAATAACATCAAATAGAAAAATACAAAAAACATCCACACTAGATTAACTTTTACAAGTGATTATTGCGAAAAAAACAAGATTAGCACCATTCAATATCTCCACTTTCGTCATTAGGTATATTTTCATCTTCTTCACGTGCTTTTTTAACTACTGTTTCATTGAATGTCCTGACATAATTGAAACTGGATTAAAATTTGATATTGTTGTTGGTGCCTTCTTGATCTCGTGAAATTCTTTCAATAAATCTAACTCTTTTTCTAGGAAACATGAGCTGATTAAGCTTTTCATTACCAAAATTTGTTCTACGCTTGCTGACACTGTTTTTCGATGATGAGAAAAAGCATTCAATCGTGATATTTGAAGTCTGTCTTGCAAAGATTCTTCTGGCAATTGAAGATAACGTTGGAAATAAACCCTGTGATTTATGCCAAAAATCCAGAACGTCAATATCTTTTTCATCGTCGTTATTAGCAAAGTGGAAATCTTGATTTAAATAGAAAAAAAAAATCGGAATCGGAATCTAAAAATTTTTCGGAGTCGGAGTTAAAAAAACATGGCTTCGCAGGTCTCTAATCTCCGTCTATTGTTTCATAATGTTATTCAAGATTCAATTATCGAAAGAAGAAACTAGCTGATGCATACAGTATTTAATAATTTAACATTTCGTATTAGTTACATTAGTATCAACAAGTCATAGAAGAGTTGTGAAAACTTTCTAAATTCTTTCTTTCGTTTATTTATTATTAATTGTCATCAGTCAATCATTTTGATTCAGTTATGTAAAAGGATTGACATTTTCTTCATCTTTCTTCTTTTTTTTTGTCGTCAAACAACAAAATGACTTTCTTCACTAAATGATGAGTGCGTATTTGCAACAGTAGCAAGTGTCCACTTGTGATTGTTAGAGAATATTCTTAGTATTGAAGAAGTCATTGTTTTTTTTCTATTTTAATAAATAAACAATTGTGAAAGATTGTTTCTTCTCTCTTCTTGAACTGATTGACTATATACATAAAGGTCATAATCATCTTTAACTTTTTTTTTTGTTCATTTGACTTAGTTATTCAATCCAATAAAAATTTATTCATTGCTTGATTTACAGTTGTTGCACATATAGTATCGGATATATTTTCTGTTCTAAATAATCGTAAGAATCTAAAGGAAAATGATATAAATATTCTCTCGTTCTAAGATCACACATGCTGCTTTAATAAACTACATTAGAATTTCGCCTTGACCCAAAATATTCTTCACAAAATATGCAATGATTTATAATCGATACTCATCACTCCCCAATTACTTATTGATAATCGAATAGTTTGCATACTACCTATTATCAAATTACCTACATATCCTTCTATGTATATTTGTAAGATTCCTGCTATGACATTGAACTTAATGATCACTTACTTTTCACAAGTTAGTGATGGTGCTAAACAAATATGTGCATATATAAACTTTGTATATTTAATAAATAACATAAGAGAATAGATGCCTTTGTTCATTCTTTCGTTTTTTTTTTACTATTGTGCCTTTGAGCACAAGCGCTTTGCGTAATTCTATCATCATCATCAAGCACTAGAAAGAAAAAAAACCTTGATGAAGAAGATATAAATAAAAATGAAGTTACAAAAGCAATCGGATATAGAATATACGTCGCCATGGATTATAAACTATGCTTCCTAAACATTTACTATAGTTATTATTATTATTATTACATCATAGATTCCGACTTGTATATCCATCATGTTCTTTATCATATGATGAAATTGACTCTCCATTGACTAACTTCTTTTTCCTTCGAAAGAAAAGAAAAATAAACTGTTGGCTTGAGTGTTTAAATTATTCAATAGAGAAGCCATTTTGATAATAGAATTGATCAAAAAGATGATTATGACATAAGATTAAAAATATTCTAAAATAAACTTAATATACAAAAAAAAAAAGAAAATAGATTTCACAAAAGTAAGTATTAAAACTTATCTTTTTCATTTTACCTTCTATTTTCATTACGCAAGTTGATAATAAAAATAAACTATTGATACAATCAATTGCACGCACGTCATCAAACAAGTGAAAAATGTGACACATTAAAATTCACAAACAAGAAACGATTTTATAGCATGTCATATTTTGTTGTTATAATCAGTGAAGAGTAGACTAAAGTAAGATATAGTTGAACAATCGATAAAATAAAGAAATTTAAAATGAATGTATATCGATAAAGATGTCTCATCCAATCCTGTTAAATGAATCAAGATGACCTATATAAATAGATATGAAGGTAGTAATTTGTTCGACAAGTATTCGTTTTTTTCTTTCTTAGATTGTACAGACATGTTAGTTGATGGTCACGTCATCGTTCATCTGTCATCGCCAATATGTGTTTATATATGTCTATTCACCAACATAAATTAGACATTGTATATTTATTCATAAATAACTACTTATAAAATGTTCGTTATAAATTCATGTAATGAACTAGATATATTTACTGATGAATGATTTGTGCTTTTAATTGATAAAAACCATTACTTCGTATATGTTGTGATTAGAAATGATAGAAAAATATTGTTCAATTCTTTATCATTATTAAAGATAAATATATTTTTTAGATTTGATAAATTTCTTTTTTTTAACTTTTCTATGCATGTCTTCATTACGTATCTTAATTCTTTATATAATTTTGATAATAAGAATTATTGATAATAAAAATATTTATTTTACACAATCAACTTATGATATATGGTGTCAAGAAAATATTCTATCAAATTCATTATTTCTTTATCCTAATCGAATACGAGCAGGTATTTATCATACATCAAATATAAAATCTGTCGTATATGATCTTATTGATGATAATAATAATAATCATAATGGTTTATTTTATGTTAAAACAAAACGAATAGCAGATTTTTATTTTTTTATTCTTAATATAACACGACCATTCGATATTAATCGAGAATATCAAGATATTTATGTACTTCATATTCAAGCTAATATTATTACTACGAATGGAAATTCGACTGAAGAAGCAAAAGTATGCATATTTTGTTTAATATTTTAGATTGTAGATAAACGATGTTTTTTTTTGAAAGTAGATAAAATACAAGAATATTTTTTAAATTAAATTTTCACTTATCGATAGAGGAAGTCACTTCTATGAAAAACTATCATATCTGACAGCAAGCTTGATGTTATCATCTCAACAATTGAATGTATCTATGAAACTATTTAGTAGAATTATTATTTTTAGATTTTAGTTCTTATATTCACATAGATTAGAATCATCATATGAAAAAATGAGAATGTATATTGATTCAGTCTTTTAAGATTTTAAATATATATATATGGGAGTGGTTAATTTGACTGGTGCCCCGTTTTGATACAGTCCTATTGTACGGATAAAACCTAATATTGCCCGGGCCATATAATAGAGGATCCTATATAATCCTGGATTGGCCCGAACAACACCATGTCTTATCCGTATAATAGTAGAGAAAAGCTACTAGCCTCAATCGTGAGCTGGTAGCTTTTTCCTACTATTGTAAGGATAAAACATAGTGTTGTTCGGGCCAATCCAGGGTTATATAGGATCCTCTATTATATGGCCCGGACAATAGTAGGTTTTATCCGTACAATAAGACTGTATCAAAACGGGATACCAGTCAAATTGACCACCCCCATATTATAGATGATGATAAACAGTATTAAGCTTTCATGAAAAACTTTAAATCTTAATTTATTTAACCTGTATATCAATCATGCTGTTTCTAAGCGATTGATACATTTGATTTTCTTTGCTTAATATCGAATGGTGTATCTTCTGCGTATTTTCTATAAAAACCTCCTCTCATTTTATGAAACATCCGAAATGAGTTCGGTAACTTATGGATACTCAATTTATCATCGTTCAAATACTAACGAGCGAATCTATTCAACGTCATACAATGACTACGAGTAGATCTTGATGAGACTAGAATAAATTTAAAACAATTCGAGCCCTTGATAAATTTATGTCGATAGATAGATTTGATAGTTCTGAAAATTTTGACAAATATTAGCATTCTTTTCTCGAGATATTTAAATTCTAAAATAAAACAGCCGTTTACTTTAAGAAAGCACAATAATTCAGTCTATTTAGAAATGGAGTATCCAGGGAAAGGTATGTTCGTTTTCGTTGCAATTTTCAGGACTGGTAAGTTTATTTAAAGACAAAATTTTAAGATAAAACTTTTCGTTTTAAGTTTCTTTTTTGAAAAAGTCTCGCCTCACTAAGATCTACTCGTAGCTATAATATAAAGTGGAATGACATTTAACGTTTGAAAATATTCTCTCGTAAAAACTTAGAGAAATAAACTAAAAATTACGTTGATGATCAAATGATCAGATGAAAAAATTTTGAAGGTAGTTCCTTGATGTTTAAACACAAATATTTCCTTGTTTCTTTTTTTTTTGTATTTAAAATACGTTTGGTTCTATCCATGTTGTGTGTAGAAATTGTTGCTGATATAGGTTTTTTTCAATGGCGTTTATTTTTATGGACGAGCCCTGCAATTC